CACAGCAAGGGTGGACTGGAGCCACTGAGAAGCAGAGGGGTTGAGCTCCTGAAGGGTGGGGCAGGACATAATGGAGGGGACATTCAGGACGCAGAGTACACTGAAAAGGAAGGGAGTCCTCTGCGACCTTCTGTCCTCAGATGGTAGAGCTGGTCCCGCAGCCTTTTGACTCCTCCACAAGGTCTACTGCTGAGCCCTTACCTCACACAGCTGGAACCATCATTAAATGCAAGCCCTTTATTCCTTCAATAAAAACTCTGCTCTTGTGAACCTTCAAACAAAGGGAAGGTAGTAGGTGGTGATCCCATGGGGTGACTGGCTGGGGAGCATGCTCCCTAGACTTTCAAGACAGAACACATGGACAGAACACCCACAAGAAGGACTCTTTCCACAGGAACTCCACAGAGACCTTATGTGTGCATGTCCTCACGCATGCATGCATGCATGCATGTATGCATGCTGTTGTGTTCTCTCCTTCATGTGTTGTCTGCCAGGCCAGGCAGCTAGAGAACTGGTCTTTGGAGCTTGTGAGTTTTCCTGATTGAGCAAGTCCTGGCTAGTAGCCGGACAAACAGACCCATCAGCCTAGGTCACCGGAGAAGTGGAGGGTGGGGGTAAGAAAAAAGAAGCACACAGGGCCTTGAGACCTGCCTGGCTGCCACTCCCGGGCTGCCAGGCATTAGGGCTCTCCCAGAAAGTATGACAGGTGCATAGGGAATGTGAGGCCCTTCCTTCACGTGTCCAGAGCAGCACTTCCATATCTAGGTAAAGGATACTTCCCCAAACACCAGGATGTCATCTCTCCTTTTTCCTCATTCTCAAAGCTGTGGCCATGTTCTCTTCCCATGTGGTGCCAGATGTCCCCTACCAGAGCTGTGCTCTTCTTGTGAGTGTCTAGTCATTAAAAACCAAGACTGTGCTTCCCTTCTCCCAGTGGGACTGTGTTGAGGCAGTACACAATGCCTCCCCTCCTGTCAGAACAACTGACATGCTCAAAGGAGACCATGAGAATCTTCAGAAGGAAAGACTATATTGTCTTCTTAAAAACTATATTGTCTCCACTCAAGAAAAGCAGCAGGAGCTGGTGAGATGGCTCAGTGGTTAAGAACATTCGTTGCTCTTGCAGAGGTCCTGGGTTCAGTTCTCAGCACCCACATGGTGGTTTACAACCATTAATAACTCCAGTTCCAGGAGATCAGACACTTTCTTCTGACCTCTGTGGGCACCAAGCACCCCGATAATAAGGCACATACATATACGAAGGGAAAACACTCATACGCCTAAAACAAAATAAATATCTAAAAGAGAATTAAGAAAAGCTGCAGCTTCAGATGGCCTCAGTAGAAGTCTGATCAACCCTACAGCTGTACAGCTTGTACGGTGTGCGATGTGGCCTTGCAGAGGAGAAGGTGGGAGGTGGGGTTCATCCACAGCCTGTTCACCATGCTGTGTCCTCTGCTGTGGAGCTGCACCCATCAGTGTGCACCGCAAGGACACTTCTTACTCTAGAGGCTGACTGACTAAACAGAGGCTTTCTTCTCCTTTTCGTTATTTTTTTTTTCACACAAGCCTTGGTCTCACCCTCTTACGAGCCTCTTACAAGGTAGCTAGCTCATCTCTCCTCTTCTGTCTCAGGGCAGCCTGACCATGGAGAAGGCTCTCGTGGTAGACAGACAGCAGACCTGGTCACTCTGTGTAGAGCCCTCAGCACTGCTCATGATCTCAGCCTGACCTTCCTCACTTCCCTGCTTCCCTTCCTGCCCCACAAGGCCATCTCTCATGGCACTGTCTCCTGGGGACAGTGATAGAGGCTTGTCACTTGATAAGATCCCCTAACCTCCCCCTGCTCTCAGGGATGGCAGGTGGAGCTCCAGGCCTGCTCCTCGTGTCTCCAGGCCATTTCCAGGCTATGCATACATCTCCTTGCTCACATCACTGGGTCTCCTCAGCTCCACTGCCGGCTGGAATTCAGCATCTCAGCAAGGGTTTGTGCCCTGTGCAGAAGGAGGGTGGGGCTCCTCTCCAGATGGTGGCTAGATTGTCCCATAGCAGGGTCACCTGCCATGCAGGATAAAGACCTAGTTCTCCCCAACACCAGTTAGGATTTAAGTCAGTGAAGCAGCAGCTGGTTTCTCTCTGAGCCTGTCACTCCCCTCCCCCAGTCCCAGGCTTCATTTTCAATAGCATCTTGATTCAAGAGAGCATTTCTTATGAAGAAGTCAAGCACTGTATTACCTCCTTAGCCACATCCTCCAAAGGCTCTCCTTTCCTGCTCACAGCTCGAGGGGCCTCTGTCTGCTGCTTCTCCTGGGCTGGCACAGCCAAGGGCAGACTAACGCTTCTTGTTCAAGGAACCCAGCAGGAGCTGGGAGCTGGGTGGTGGCCAGAGCAGAAAAGAAGGCACTGTGACCCAGAGCTCCAGTGGTCCCCATATGAAAATGAGATACTGTGTGGGGGTCCCTCAGCACTGGGCCCTGAACGTCAAGGCCGAAGCTGGGTATTGACAGGTGAGTGAGGTGCTTTGTGGGTGTCAATCGGGCTCATGACAGTTACATTTCAGTCGATCTAACCACTATGTGTCTAGATCCGCAGCTCCAGTGTGTGCACTGCAGGAAACATCCATCTCCTGACATCTGTATTGTTTTCTTCTCCTTGGGGTCTTTGTCAGCTATTGTTTGAATGTCTCTTGGTCTTTCTGAGTTGGCTGTGGTTTTCCTGCTACCCTCTCAAAGGCTTCAAAGGATGGGCCTTATAACCACATCCCTGTTCCTGCAACCCAGCCCTGCTCTAGCTCCTGATCTGGAGGGACTCGAGAAATGTAAATCAGCTTTGGGGAAAGTATCCTTTTCACCATGCAAATGAGCACCGGTGCCTCCAGAGGATCGAGCCAAGCTGCTGTTGCTAAAGAAAGGAGAGATAAGGAAAGAAAGGAGAGATAAGGAACAGCATTATGTACTAATCTCTACACATTTACTTCTAAAAAGTATTGTATGAAATAAATTATCGTTGTGCTTCTTAAGAGGGATGGACTCCTCTGTGCCTTGGCCTGTCACGTGCCTTACAGGGTTACAGCTAGTTTCTGAAACTCCACACACAGGTGGCTGAAGCTAGCTGTCAGTGGGTTTGCCCTGAACAATGCAAGGTTGGCACAGAGAGATGCCAAAGCCCCGTTAGGTGTGCAGGGCTCTGGGCTTTGTACAGCATCTTTAGCTAAACCATTAAGATGTACTGCGGACTTCACAAATGCACGGATGAAGATCTAGAATAAAGGAAAGAAAAGAGGCAACGCTCCACCAGTGTCCCTTAATGTTCCCTGTATGGACCAAAAAATGACACCACGCTGTTTCTCCCATCATGCTCTCTGTGCTGTCCCTGCTCTCTGAAGCAGATCTGAGCAGGGCAGCCCTTCCCTCTGCAGTTCCCTGGTTGCCGCCGTGTTACTCAGGGATCACACCACAGCACGTGCTGAGGCTGTTCCGAACTTCACAGGAGGTGAGTTGTCACTTGTTTACTTGTGGGAATTTTATGGCAAAACAGGAAAAAAAAACCCACCATTTTAAAGTGTTTTACTGCTATAGGTTTATGTGCATGGGTGTTTTGCTTGTGTGCCATGTGCGTGTCTGGCGCCAGCAGAAGCTGGAAGGGGACACTGGATCCCATGAATCTGGAGTTACAGATGCTGTGAGCCACTACGTGGCTGCTGGGAACTGAACCTGGATCCTCTTGAGGAGCAACAAATGCTCTTAATCACTAAATCATCTCTCTAGTCCTGAAAAGATCTTTAATTCCCACCCCCACCCCCGAAATGTCATGTGTCTGAGTATTTTGCCTATTTGTGTACATGTGTACCACATGCATAACCTGGTGCTCACAGAGGCCAGAAGAGAGCACTGAATCGCCTGGAACTGGAGTTACAGATGCCTGTGAGCGGGCAAGTGGGTGCTGGGAACTGAACCTTGGCCCTGTACAAGAGCAACAACTGCTCTTAACTATAGAGCTATATCTCTAACCCACCTTCCCCATCCCCCAAAGACTTTTGATTTTTGTCTTTTCTTTTGGTTTTGTCCAGTCTGTAATCAAGGTGTTCCTGGAACATGGTTAAGGTTTGGTGGGGATTATTGTCTGTAGAGGGGTTTGTTCTGTTCTGTTTTGAGACACGTAGCCCAAGCTGGCTTCAAACTCACTCTGTAACTGAGGATGATCCTGAATTCCTCATCTGCCTCTACCTCCCAAGTGCTGGGCTTCCATGTTTGTCATATTCAGCTGACATCATGTGACATCATCACAGTCCATGATGAACATGGACTATGATATCCCTCGCCGTGTCCTGTCTCCTTGCCTTCCAAACACTCTCACCAGCAGGGACTCTCGGAGAGGGCCCAAGGGAAGATCCAGAAAAATAGATCCTACTCATGCAACAGAACCCCTATTCCAAAAGGCTTGAGAACAGCCTGGGGGACCATGATGGTGTCACTGACTCTAAAACCTTCAAAGAGACAAGCAAGGTTACTCCCAGGAAACAATATGACAAACTAGACTCTGTCAAAAATGTGAGGTGATTTCCCTGACTGTCATGTTGTCAGGAAATATACATAGGTCACAGAGTATCCACTACCACTGGTGCTAGGCACTGGAAGGACATACCAGTCAACACCATGGATACCCAAAGCTTTGACCTTGTGCTTAGTCTAATATGAGAAATGTTATCTCCAGATAAACATCTCTTCATCTTTCCAGTGATGTAATCTCCAGGGATCCTTGAAAACAACACTGGACC